CCCCAGTGCAGGGCTGCGGCGCCCTGCCCCGGATCCCCTCGTGGGGCGGGTCATCACTTATTCATGCCGGTTCTTCTTCTCTGCCTTTTCCTTCCCCCCCACCTCTCTGCCTCTCCCTCCCTGCCTGCCCTCTACCTGCCTGCCAGAGCCAAACCGGCCGCTCTCTCTGCGCGGGAGACAGAGGAGAGCATGAAATATTGAGGAGGCTCAGCGAGGCGGCGGCGTGCTAGTTCAGAGGAGATGCCTGCATTCGCTCAGCCCCGGGTGCCCTCCTTGCGCCGCCTGTTCAGAGCTGCAAGGAATGATGTGCCACCCCCTTCCCCTTGCTCTGGGCATGGCCTTTTGGCACGCCGGCGGCAAATGCTGCCTGGTCCTGAGCAAGTCCCGAGAGAGCTGGGACCAGTCTGAGCATCGCCACAGGCTCCCGGCTGCACCACAGCTGTAGCCCCCGTTGGCAGGTCTAGTGTGGTCCCGGACTAGAAGTCCTAGCTCAGTGTTTCTTAAACTTTTTAAGACCGAGGAACACCAAACAATATTCTTTTTTTTTATGAAGAACATTAAGGATTTTTTGTTGTGGGGGGGGGGGGGGGGGGGGGGGGGGGGGGGGGGGGGGGGGGGGGGGGGGGGGGGGGGGGGGGGGGGGGGGGGGGGGGGGGGGGGGGGGGGGGGGGGGGGGGGGGGGGGGGGGGGGGGGGGGGGGGGGGGGGGGGGGGGGGGGGGGGGAAGGTTCGGGGGGAAGTTATTGAGCCCTTTAAGGGTGGCCATTTTGAATTCTGTTCTCCACGGCACACCTCCGACTGCCTCCCACACCGGTGTGCCACTGAACACAGTTTAAGAAACACTGTCGTAGCGCGTGTCCTGTAAACCTCAGACTGCAAACCCTGGATAACTGCGGCAACTGAACTTTCAGAAGGCAGCAGGGCTAGTGTGAGGGGGTCCTTAAGTAGGCCCGAGAGCAGCCACATCCGTTCGCGCTCCCCTTTCCCCCTGTCCCCTCGCCTGCCTGTGTCTCTTCACTTTCCGTGTCAGTGCTGCCGTGACCGGGCCGTCTCCAGGGCCTGCGGGGAGGAACGGGAGCTCTGCCCTCAGAACAGTATGGGCAGGCAACCCCCCCACTGCCCTCACACACACACCTCCTTCCCGATGGACAATCCCTCTGAAATGTTATCCTGTGCCAGCGATCTCGGGCCACTTGTAACTAGGGATGTGAAGGTTTAACTGGGTAAGTTTACTGGTTAAGGTTAACTGAGGGGGCTGGAGTAGCTCCCCACCTGCTGTGGGGGGGTAGACCTTCTAGTGCAGCAGTGAGCAGAGAGACCCCCCCCCCTTATAGGTTAACCCCGCGTTTCTCAAACTGGGGGTCCTGATCCCCGGGGGATGCGAGCAACTTAGAGGGGGGTCGCAGTATCACAAGGTTTGAGAACCCCTGGGTTAACTGGTTAGCCGATGACATGGGATTTTACAACCCTAACAGCAGGGACGACATGTTTCAGAGGCCGGTGTTCTTTCTCCCCCACTCCTAAGTGGCAATGCTCTTTTAAGGCCTGGCTGCTTGCATGGCTTAGTGAGATGGAGCAGAGCAGAGGGGCGGGAGCGGCTGGGGAGTAAAAGGGAGCCAGGAGTAAAAAGATAGTGAGATGGAGAGAAGGGGGCGGGGGAGAGAAAGGCACAAAGAGCCGGAGAGAGAGATGCAAAGGGGAGGCAGGTAAGGGCTCTGAGGCGGGGGAGCCGTGCAGCCACAGAGATTAAGTTAAGCAGGGCAAGTGATAAATATCCCGCCAGACGCTGGGCTCAGGATGTCTGATGCCATCTGGCAGCGCTCTCCACTCAGCGAGGGCGAGGTCACATCCGCTGCCCAAGGAAGGTCTCCCGGCCCCTTCCAGCGCAGATCCTGCCATTCAGCGTCGGTCAGCACAGAGGAGGGGGCAGGGTGCGGAAGCGGGTTTCTAGCCAGGCACGCCCGCCGTTTCGATAGACTCCGCTCCCTCCCAGCTGGGAGGCGGAGCAGCATCTGTGGGAAGCTGGTGGCAGATGGGGCAGAGAGGTGGGGGAGGGGGCAGGTGTTTGCAGTGCTCTGAAAGGCAGCCGCGAAGGCCGGCCTGAGACAGTCTCGGGGTTGAGAGTTGAAAAGTCGCAGCTGCTGAGCTCAGTGGAGTTTTCCATCATTCTAGGATGCAACAAAACATCAGCTTTGATGCCACCTCCAGCCCCCCTGCTCTAACCCAATGCCCCACCCCTCCCTCAGAGCCAGGCACCCCCCGCCCCCCTGCTCTAACCCATCCCTCCCCCCGAGCCAGAC